TTCTTCATAAGCATGTGAATTGTAAGCTGTCATTTGAGTTCCAGTCCTTGAACACCGGATTCAGTGTGCTTCTCTTTAATAACCACAAGGCTTAACACTGGTGTCTTGAATAAAATTAATTTTGCGTATTCCCAGATATTCATGTCTCTGATGTATTATGATATCCTTTCAGCAAATCAGTCACCTGTGACCTTTCCAGGGTATTTATTTATTAAAAAATTTATACCAGACCAGGATCAACAATTGTTTGTCTGTTTTCTGTTTGGAAAGTAAGTTGGGAAGTCTGTGCTTGCATTTCATTTTTCACAAACTGAATAAAGGTAGAGTGTCATTCTACATGTTAGTAGACTTTTAAAAAGAATTTTGCTGAACTGGTTTTGGATGAGTGAACAGATGAGCAAGAGTAAGCACCTTGACTCTCATAAAGAAGACAAATTCAGCTGGTGTCCTTTTATGTATCAAATATTAGGTATCAATATTGAATGTAACGTAGTGAATTGGTCTCTTTCTTTACCAGGACTTCAAGTTCATTTTTGTGCTGCATGTCTTTGTCTTTTTCAATATAACTTGTACAAAGTTACTTCCCAGTGGGCATTAGCTTTGGAATTGCCTTGCTCAGAGGTTGTGCTCCAGCTTTGAGGCTACTTCTTACCTTCAATGAAGCAGAGCCAATACTGAGACTGTATGTGGAGATTGTGGTACAAATCAAAGGGCTGACTTTGAAATAACAAGGGGTTTGGAGCTCCATAAAAAGCACCACTCTGTTACAGTGAAAGCTTTTAACTGTTCTAGTAGCCATGTATGAGTGCTGTACTGTTCCTATTAAATATTAGAGCAATGAAGAAACTGAGCAAATAGTTTGAACAGTGTGCTCTATAATTTATAATCCATGTACCCAGAATACAAAGAAAATAGGTTTTGAAGAGTGTTTATTTTTCTGAGGAAAAACCGCAGAATTTTAAGTATCTAGGAAGCCCTAGAAGTCTCAACTTCTATGGCAAATTATCATACATATTACTGAAGAGTTCAGAATTGTAATCTGGATAGACAGACTGGCAGGAAGCCTGTCAGACCTGCATTGGAATTTTTATCAAAATCAGCCTACAGAAAGAGAGCATTTCTCTTTAGGATAATTTGACTTCTCCTCAGCTATGAGTGTTTCATTTGACAAACCGTGAGCTTTTCTAGTATTTGAGATATTCCTCCTAGAAAACATGATTAACAGGTGTTAATAGGTGATTCTTTTTAACTAATTTAAGTGCTTATTGGCAGTTAAACTTGGAATTACCATTACAAAGTTGTCATGTACCATTTTTAAAACAAATGATGTATTTAAAATCTGAAGTTAGTGTTAGGCTTTAACATGCACCATTGATTTTGTTTGGCATAGGTAAATAAAAGCAGGGAATATTTAACATGATTGTGTTATATTTGCACACCACATGAAAGGCAGTCATAAGCACAGCTTCTAGTTCCATTTGAGTTGGAAACTCTGCATAGACAATTGGCTTTGATTTGTTTCTGAGGTATATAAAAATCCATTTTCCAGTTTTTGCCACAGGGCAAATAGTAACTAGTAACTACTTTGTCCCAGAGCAGTGCATATTTGCTGAATAGCTTAAACAAAAAAATCAAAGTAGATAGGTAAGCTGGACTGACAGACTGGAGAGAAGACTTTAAGACTTTGTTTGATTGTGGATTGTTTAGGGATATTTTTGCTTAGGTTGCACAGTGAAGCTAGAAAAGAGTTTGCACCAGGAACTGGCTTGGCCTCACTGCAAGTCAGCATTCTTGGGTGGAGGTTTCAGCAGCTTCGAGTGTTTCAAGGAAGTGAGCTGTAGGGAAGGAGAAGCAAGGAAAAAACATTGCCAGCATACGTCTGTAGTTGTTAGAAAAGTATTTAGCTTGGTCACTGCTAAATATAACCACAGACAAAATTATAATGCACTGTGGGAGTTTCTTAAAAGTCTAGACCAATGTATCCATCCATTATTTTACGCTTGACACAGTACTACAGATCAGATTCTTGTGCCAGAAATTGATCTATGTTTCTCCCAATACTGATTAATATGATTGCCTTGTATAATAGCAATAATAACTTTCCTGCGGTCTTCAGTTCATTTTGAAATTGCTCAATTTAGATGAAAATACTGAATGAAAATTTTTTCAATACTCTGAAAATTTAAATAGTGTGAAAACACTTTAATATTGGCAAACTGAAATCTATTGGAGTCCTTTCCTTCCTCCCAACAAGCTATTTTTAAACGAGACACTATGACATAGGTTAAATTTTTCAAACATGACTCATGTTTGGCATATGACAGGTCTGGTTTTATTGTTTTGGGATAGTTTTTCAGCAGTGTTTAAAAGACGCAGTGATCTGTGGGATGGTGATGTTTTCAACCACATATTGCAAAACTGAGACACACAAAACTACCGATTGCATTTTAGATTTTTAAATTCTAAATTTTATTACTTTAAGTAACAAAGTAAAATGTTCTGAGAGGAAGCAACCATTTCCCAACTTCCATTAAAATTAATGTAGTGCAAACTTGCTAACAATGTCAAATTCTAAATTAAAGCTGAGTTCTGCAGCATCACCTGTGTTTTATGAATAGCCAAAATTTAGAAAAACAATTTAGTTTGAAACAAGGAAGGTGGGGCAAAAGAAACTTCACAAAGACCTTTATAGTAAACAGAGGTATTGAGATTGTGAAGTGAAGCTTCCTACAGTGAAGAGTAGAGGAGGATGAACAGCATGTACATATCTTGAACTTTTTCTAAAGCCATGGACAAAGAATTTAATTTCTCTTTCTCCTGAATGTTTTCCTGCCATTCCCCTACTTTTGTCCTAATAGCTTAGTCTTTCTGGTGCTTTTGGATTCATGACTTGGCCATTTGGAAGCAACATTTGATATCTGTGATTGAAAACTAGTGCTTATTCTGGCATGGTATGACTTCACTTTTTCTTTCCATCTTTAGCCAGTGCTGAGTATATCTTGACTTTGTTATTTTTCCCTTATCTACTCCAACTTATTCTTTTATTTGGTCCTGTCTCTTCTCTCTCCTTCAACCTTTTCTCCTCTTTCTTTACCCCTCTCTCTGTCACCCCCTGCAAATGACTTGCCATGCAGTGAATGTATTTATGGAAAGATTCCCCTCCCATATTTAAGAATTAACTTTAAAAAACATTAGAAGACTGTATTTTACATGTATTTTAAAGACTGTTCTTTAAATTGGAGAATTTTTATCTAAAAATTTAGATTAATTTTTCAGTGTCTATTTTTCTGTACAAACATGCATGTTTGCATAAAAATTGTATATAATAATGTGTGTTATTATTACAACATACTGCTTATTTGGCTGTTTTGTAGAACAGAGAAAATGTGGGTGATAAAGTGGCAGTAACTGGCTGACTAGCTTTGAGTTAGTGTGCATGTGTGTAGTCTTAAAATACTTCTACTGTAATTGCAAGAGAACTTTGTCAGTACTCTGCCAAACACATACTCAGTCCTTTATGCAGAATATAGGTACTGAACTCTCTATGTTTGAGCCAGTATTACATGACACAGACAGTCAGAAATTCCATTTGCATTGAATGGGTATGCTTTTGTTTCTAGATTACCAATTGAATTTTCAGCTGCTTTCCTTCTGTTACATGACACTTGGTTTAAAATATTCTCATGAGACATGCTTTCCAAACTTTCAATGCAACTACAATTGTGGGTAGTCTTGATGAAAGAGCTACTGTTCTAATTTTCATTTTGCATATACAGTGAAGACTTTCCTTTTTCATTGTAAAGGTACAACTGTGATTTACTGATTCAGATTTTTAAATACAGAAGTGTTTGTTAGGACACAGAGCTGGAGAAACTAAGAATTCTGAGATGCCATGATGACGAGCATTATATGAACCTAGTGAACATTTTGTAAAAATAGTGACTGTCTACTTTGTGAACGTATTGAACGTAAGTTCTAGTATCAATGGTGGTAAAAACCAAACTGAATATTATCCCTTAATAATGAAATATGGTGTGACTAAAATAGGTAATGTTTGAAAAACTAAACTGATAATTTTTAATCCATAAAGTGTCCCTGTTTTGTCCCACTCTAGTCATCCTGTCGTCCATTCAAGTGCACTGCTTTTTTCAGTTCAGAATCTGGCTACTGATTCCCAAGTTACACTTCTGAGCAGATCCATAGCTACTCTGTTCTCTTTCTTAACTGAAGCAAATACTGCTAGAGGGTATTTTTTCAGCATTTTCTGTTTACTTGCTTTGGAGTTACATCCATCTCCTAACTACAGCTATTTTTGGTATAAACATAAGGAAAGGAAACTTTCCTGAAATAGAACAAAGACTGAACTTCTCAGATCACCAACTAAAATTGAGTAACTATATCAAGACAATAGTATCTTTAAATTAACATGTCAAACATATTAGATAATGCTGATACAGTACATTAACAAATTAATTAACTACTTTTACTGTTCTAGGATATCCAGTGTTAAACAGAACCATTGTCTGTATTGGTATCTCAAGTTCACTTGTTGACTCTATTACAAGGATTTCTGGCTGCTTCATTAGTAATGGCTAAAATCATTGCTTTTCATTCAATCTTTCATTTTTCTAACTTTTGTCAAAATACAAATTTGTTTGAAGCAAACAAACTTTTTCTGCTGTTGTAAAAATAACATTGTTTCATCTCCCAGATGTTAGTTCATAAAGATCTGCAATTTCTGGTGCCAAAAGAGCAGCTAGTTTTTCCGTCCATCAGAGTTTTGCTCTGTTAGGATTTTGCTACAAATGCAGTGCTGTGATGTTCAGGTTTGTGCAAATTTTAGCAACGTTTTCACAGTATGAAAGTTCTACTGCAAGCAGCAAGATTAAAACTTATTTTGTCTTCTGTATTTTTTATACAGCAGAAGAATGTTGATTAATGTGGAATAATTTCACATGGGTTCAGTTGCTAATGATTAAACTGTTTTGTGATTTGTACAGATAAACACAAGGACTGCTCTGGTGTAACTTTACATCTGACACATCAAAAGTAAGCATCTTGAAAAATACTTACCTACTACGATTTTTTTTTCATCACCAGAGAAGGCATGGAAACCCATCCTTTAGATTCCTTTGGAAACATGTGAAATAAAAATAATACATACTTCACAATGTTAAGAATTTTGAAGCCATGTGTCATCTGTTGGCAAAAATTTTCATTTCCGCTAAGAAACTTGATGAAACGGTGCTATCAGTACTGCATTAATCCAATTTAAGAGCTGTAAGATGATAGTTTTGTCCTATTTCATATACTTTGTAGAAGATGCCTTAAAAATTGTAGCTCGGTATGAAAAAAATGAGGGAAGGGGAAGTGCTACGTAACAGCTCTTTCTCAGTAGACCAGTTTCAGACAAATCCAACATGTAGAAATTAGTGGTGTTAAATGGTATTGCATATCGTGTCACTTGCAGTCCGGTTTTACAGAGCATTTGTTTAGCAGAGCTTGGGTTTTGAATTGCAGGCAGCCTTTGATTGCCGGAATGTATCTTATGATGTCTGTGAACACTGTAATACCACCGGGTGAGAAAGGTGAGTCGTAATTCTACAAAGTTGATTATATAATTTCAGCATCTGATTTATTTTTACTGCTCATTGCGGAAGAAAATTTAGCAGAGACTTGCTGAATTGCAGATGGACAGATTAATTGCTTAATTAATCAAATGATGAAAAAATTAGTTATAATTTTAAAACTGTATCATATTTCCCAAAGACTACATCTGCAAAGGCGACCAATGTTGTAGAAGACAATGTTGTACAAACAATAATGACCTGTGCAATACAGAAGTTTCTAGGATTAAGAGTATTTCTTTATTTTCATCTTAATATTTTACCAAAAAAGCCATACGTATTTTCTTAACCTCCCCCACCGTTCCCCCCAAAAAAAAAACCCCACATAAAATTTTTTGGACTCTTCATCTACATTTGTGCATTCATGCTATTTGTGATTTACTTAAGAGTTCATTTTTTCTACCAGTAAGGAGTTGCTCTTTAAAAATTTTATTCCTATGTTCCTAGTTGGTTAAAAGGTCAAAATGCTGAAAATACATTGTAAAAGAGTTTCCAAACAGTTTCTATTCAGAATTCTACTCAGTGGATTTTATCTGAAACTCAGCTTGGATAGTCCCAATATCATTTCTTCAGGCTAGCATGGAATGTTCTGTTTTTAAGGAAGTTGAACACTGACCTTGTATTTTCCTATGCTGCACCAGAATTTTAAACTAGATATCTGAGAACACCGTTTGTCCCATTTATGGTTAGCTGCCTAAACAGGATGAGGTGGTCTACTAACTCCAACTGTTTGGTGAATTCAGCAACTTGAAATCTTTTTTAATTTGAATTGAAACTTAACATGTTTTGCTCTTCAGTATGAAAACGTAACAAACTGATCCCCCCCAAAAATACTTGATCGATGCAGAAATTTACTTTTTCAGCTGGAGGGGTGAGCGAAAAGCACCAGTTCTGTGCCTGTTGATAACTGCCTTCTTATGTTCAATTGAATTTGCAGTTCTGAAGTAAAGCATGAAGCTTGTTATAGCAGGAAAAATGCAGCCAGTCCCCGATACCTCTCACAGAGGCATTAGTAGAGGAATTTCTCTGTAGGCTCTTCCTTAGCTACTGTTACTGCACCTAACACAAGTACTAGCCTGCAGATCTTCTCGTACAGCACTTCTCTGCCAAAGTCTGCATCTAGGCCTGGAACGACAAGATCTTAAAATCAAGCCTTCATTATAAGTTGTATCAGTTTAAAATTATATGAGTTTATTTTAATTTTCTCTTGAGTAGACTATTTACCATAGCTATGTTTATTTTAAGTGTCCCTCAACATAGTCTGTAAGCAAATGTATTACTTCAGTTTGTTAAATAGTGGTAGCGTACTCTAGAAAAATGCTGAGTTTCAGCCCCATTTTGTATGTAAATCATCACAGGTAGTAATTTCAAGTTATTTGTGCTGTATTTTATTAGTTTTTCTTTACAGGTGTCTTGAGATAGACACTGCAGAAATACCAGGTATTATCCAGTATCTTTTGAAATTGTCTGTTGTCCAGTGTAGGTATACCTTTTGTAAACAGCTTTCACATGGAATGAAGTACAGTACTGTAACTTTTCTCTGATAAATAACGTGTTTTTCTTCGTTTATTGCCATCATATTTTAACAGTGGTTGATGCAGACATTGCCTGCCATTACAAAAGGTTTCCAATGCACCTTTTTGCCTACAGAGTTCATACACACAGACTAGGTAAGAGTTTTAATGCAACTTAAGAATATCAAATATTTAACAGAAAAATGCTGACACAACATTTTTTTTAGAAGTATGTCTTATGTTCACATACATATTGGTATGTTACAGGTAAAGTAGTCAGTGGATACAGAGTGAGAAACGGTCAATGGACATTGATTGGTAGACAGAGTCCACAACTACCACAGGTTGGGTTTTTTTTTTTATTCTAACTGTAAATTTTAATTATCTTTATTTAAAACTGAGAAGCTGAATTCAGTCATGTACCCACAGATTTGTCTCATGGCGTTTCCACTAGTACATATTGTGCCACTGGAAGTGAATACTGCCGAGTATTATGATTACATTATGATGCAAAAACCATTCTGAAATTACCTTTCAGACGTGTAGCACTGTCATTCTCGTGTGTGTGTGTACTGACGTAAATAATACGAGACACTTTCACTAATCATGGTGAATCATCCTCTCTTTCAGGCATTCTATCCAGTAGAACATCCTGTAGATGTTAGCTATGATGATATCCTAGCAGCTAGATGTGTGTTCAGTGGTGAAGGCAGAACTACAGAGACACATATAGGGTAAATTTCCTCCTTTTGCTCCATTTCCTAACCCTTTTTTTCCAAGGTGTTGGTTATGTGTAGAAATGTATTTGTTTCATGTCTTCTTCCAAGATAATTCTAACAAACTGTTAAATTCTGACAGAATGGTCTGTTTTGCTGTCCAGTCTGCTAAAGATTTAACTCTACACAATGTTCATTGCCTTTACTTACGTGAATAATCACTTTGCTGAAGTGTTCAGAACATTTCTTAGGTGAAGCTATACTGCCTAAACACCTTAGTCAGATGTTGAGCTGTTCTGCATTTAGAGAAGGATTCAGAATATCAATTCTAAAAAATGTACTAAGTTGAAGTTACTGACTGTTTAAAACAAAATACTAAAGCTTCACACTTTCTCTTATTTCAGAAAGAAAATTTATGGAAGCTTATAAAATACTGATATTTTGACCCATCATAAAAATCTAACCTTAAAAATTTGGAATAATGTACCAGTTACCTTTTTTTTTCCAATATAAAAATATACAGGCATTTATGAAAAATAATGAAAACATAAATGACTAGTAATGATAAATAGGAAAATCTGAACTGTGTTTGTCAGTGATGCTATTCAGCCAAAGATGAGAGAGCTCTGTAAGATCAGGTTGAAAAATGTAACTGTAAAAATAGATGTAATATGAACATTCCCTTAACTGGCTCCAGTTCTTTGAACTGTAATTTACTGCATATATAGAGATATGAAGATACGCCGCTGAAATCTCTCCATTCTGGAAGTATGTGCTGCAGCCCCCCAAGGGACGAGTTCTTTACTACACTGAGCACCCTAAGACTGCATCTGAGTACAGGGTTAAGGATTTAACACAAATTTATCACCTTTCAGTGCATAGTTAAACTAGTGATGCGTAGCAGCTGAAGCAAAATGAATTGAGGTTTTGACAAAAGCTGTAACACTAACAAAAATATATCCAAAATGTTAATTGAACTGTAGACCTTTTTCCCCCCCAAGTTCTAAAAGTTTCTGTCATGTTTCTGTAACATTCTCCAAAGCAGTTCCTATTTGTTCAATAATCCTTACAGTTTACAGTCCTAGCACGATTATGGTCTTTTCTTTCAGTGTACTAGTACGCTTTCAATGGGGGAGTAATAGGAACAGAAATTAAATAAACAAGCAGACCTTTACATTTTTATTACATAATTTCCATCTGTGAATTTTGAGAAACAATGCATAAGCATTTTAAGCAAATATTTAAACTATTGCACAAAAGCTGATGCATAATATGGAAGGAAAATAATTGTCACCATAATATGAAATGAATGGATGAAAAGGAAGGCATTCACAACAATGCTGGGTATATGGAAAGATACACAGCTAAAATAAATTAAATGAAAGTTGTTGAAATCTTAGAAAATGTTGCCCTTATGTTGCAATTGTTTTGCTCCTATTCAGAATGACTTGCGGGTCCAAAAGAAATACTCAAAGAACCTTTGAGTTCCAAATACAAACACTGAAAAATGGGAAATGCAAACGTTAAAGGAAAGCTGTGAAATATGTAGCTGAAAAGAATCAGATCAAGTCTGCATGTTCACTTTCCCAGTCTCTGTATTTAATTTGCTGCCTGTGTTTTTGTTTTTTCTTAAACTAGCTGAAAGAAAGATCTTAAATCCCTTATGTGATTTATCTATACTGTATAGAAGTCTGGGCTGTCCCAACCCGAACTGGGCTGTCCAGAGAGGATCGTGGAGGTTCTGTTATTCCCTTGGGCTAAATTAAGGTGAAACGGCACCAAATTATGGGTTAAACACTGTATTGATGGTAAACGCCAACCCCAACCAGGAAAACCAACGGCACGCAACGTGGGTTCTAATCCAAATAGTTGTAAGAGGAAAGGAAAAGTAAGGAAGAGGAGGGAAAGCGAGTTATCGCCAGCCGTGGATGCCGCGATGCCGATGCC